ATATCAAGTTCCAGAAATACGACTTCTCATTCGCAACCAAAATACAAAAATATTTCTTTTATTACAACTGCAAATTTAATTTGAAGATGTTTGACACTCACACAAACTCCAGCAGTCTCCACATTCTTGAGAAGACTTATGTCATCAATAAATAAATTAAGCTTGATGCTTAAATATAAGATACTCGTGCTTAAATACGAGACGCATAAAATGTGTTCCCGTGTCGTATTAAATCAAACAGTAAAATTCTTAATGGAATATTTAATTGGTCGCCGGGTAGTCGAAGTCAGAATAGAATAAGGAACGTCAAAGAAGCAGCAGGTTTTCAGAATTAATGAACAACCGAGTGCTCGAATAAATGACATCGATTCTTGTTCACGTGCAACGGGTCAAGTGGCTCAAGTCAGCCATTCCGCTAATTAAAGACGAGGACTGTTCTCTGCCGCAGTGGTCTCGCAATCGGCCGATATGGCTGAATGCCCCTCGAGATTGCATCCTCCGGTGCTGTCGTTAATAAAACTTTGTACATAAATCGGCTCGAGTTGAGCACCGTCATCCTTCTGCTTCTCTCTCTCATCATTATGTCCCGATAATTACAGTTTTTGCGGAAACCTTGAACGAGAGGGCACCGCGTAACCGGCCTGTTACCACTCTTTCAACGCACGGACGTTTTCCACCATGAAACTACCATGACCGATCGTGTGTTAACCCTTTTAGACGAGGGGAGACAGTCGGAAACAAGAAATACCGTCGTTATTGTGTACGGGGGAATTTAAAGATAGTTCTTCAGCTTTTTGTGATAGTTTGCTTAGGGAATACTTAATCACGATTTTTTACTGTGCGAGGGTTCGAGGGAAAATTCGAATACGACTTTGATTATGTTCAACATTAATAGAGTATTAGATTCTGAGGTTCATTTTTGAAATTTGTATATAATAGTCAGTAAGAATGGAAGTAGATGTTAGTAGGCAGTGAGATATTTTTGCATTAATTTTACCACAACGTTACTTGATCTTATCATTGTAAAAATTAGTTGTAATTATTGTTATACAAAGTGTTCAAATATTATATAAAATAGAAATAGTCGGCAAGATGTGTTTACACAAAGTTTACTAAAAAAAGTTGTAAAACATTATTGTAAAAACTGAGTGCAATTATTATTACAAAATATGTCACATTCTATTGTCCATAATATCTTTGAAATTTTTATGTAAAGTAAAAAGCAGTCAGCAAGATGTGTTTACAATTTTACCACAAAAACAACAAGGTCAAATATCATCAAATATTATTACAAAAATGAATAATTTTCATTTTAAACTTGCTTTCAAACATAATAACAGTAAAAGGATTAATTTCAATAGCACACCATCACGAAATTAATAGAACAATTTCGATAATTCACCACATAATTCTACTAGTCTACACAGTCTGTGAAAGTAGATTAGTTAGAAACTCGAGTTATCTTCTGAAACTGGAGGATGCTTCTTTTTCTTACATAACGCCGACGATAGGGATGGTTCGACGGTTGTCCGTATCGACCTCGCTTCCGGTGGGCCGTACGACAACCCGTCACGTGACTTCCGTCAGCTCGTTTGCGCGTTTACACGGCAAACAATGTGCATTTCCATACGCACTGGTCGCATACGAAAGATGCATTTACTTCTGGCCCAACCCACGAGACCGTACTGTTTGGAGTCGAGGAAAAACATTCTAATTTTTTATGACCTGTATGAATCGTGAATATCAATGCGAAAGTTATTATTTTTGGTGCATATGAAATTTTATGTGTTTCTATAGTTTGTGGTTGCGTTGTTAGAGTTTGGAGGCAAGTGTTATTTGATTTTGAATTTGTGGGTTTTGAAATATGAAAATTTGGGAATTTGGGAATTTGGGGATCTGGGAATTTGGGGATTTGGGGATTTGGGAATTTGGGAATGTGAGAATTCGGAGATTGGAGAATTCGAGAATTTGGGAATTCGGAGATTTGGGAATTCAGAAATGTGAGAATTCGGGAATGTGAGAATTCGGAAATTTGAGAATTCGGGAATGTGAGAATTCGATAATTTGGGTATTTGGAGATTTGGGAATTCGGAAATTTGGGAATTCGGGAATGTGAGAATTCGGAAAGGTGAGAATTCGGGGATTTGGGAATTGAGGAATGTGAGAATTCGGAAATGTGAGAATTCGAGAATTTGGGAATTCGGAGATTTGGGAATTCGGGAATGTGGGAATTCGGAAATGTGAGAATTCGGGAATGTGAGAATTCGATAATTTTGGAATTCGGAGATTTGGGAATTCGGGAATGTGAGAATTCGGAAATTTGGGAATTCGGAAATATGAGAATTCGGAAATGTGAGAATTCGGGAATGTGAGAATTCGAGAATGTGAGAATTCGAAAGATGCTACTTGCATCTTGCATATAAAGATACAGAAATGTGACTCTTAAGACTTTTACACAGGCTAATACAATAGCCTTAATTGATTTTACAATTCACCAAATAAAACTCACCGGTAAACTTTTATCAATTCCATTAATAATCGTAATTGAACGTGAAAAGAGAATGTCTTACAGCGATAAAATTCACCTTCTGATTTATGTTCTCCAAAATGTCACTTGTAATTAAGAAAGGTTGAAAGTCCAGTAGTTCGATTAATGGAGCAACATTTTCCTTTTCTTCCATCAAATTATACACTACAAATTTCTTCGTGTCATTTCACATTTAATTACATTTTGATGTTTCAATCATTGACGTAAATATACACATCGTGACAGAACGACAGCTCGATTAATGTTTTCCGGCTTTTCTAAAGTGAATGTCTTCCTCTTGTGTGTCAAGGCCTTAAAAAAACTATATTTCTTTTTTGCTAAGATTGGCAAGTCAGCGTTTCGCGAGTTCGATGAAAATACTGTCCCAAGCTACTTTTGTTTGGTGTCGTGGAAAACGGAAGTAGGTCAGTCAGCAAATTCTTTATCACTGCTTATTTCAATACCTTGAGTACGAATAAGAATATCGTGATAGATGCAGTTTCGTAAGCGAATCAGAAAATTGCTTATAAGCAATATCACCTTATAGGTAATCCACTAATAAAAGTGTTACACGAAACATTAAGTAACGGAGCCAATTCGTTGCTCGACTCTTTCCTTCTTGGATAATACTTGTGTACTACATTATGGAACGCTAGTCAGATATTATTTTATAATACAGATATTATTTCATGACATAAATTACTTAAATATTTTTTCAGGAGGTAATTTATTTAGATATTAGTTTAGGACATAAATTATTAACATGTATTATTTCATGACGTAAATTATTTAGATGTTATTTTATGACATAAATTATTTAGATATTATTGCACGACAGAAAATTGTATAATCAAGTTAATAGACAAGTTTTTCAAATTCAAGTCTTCAAATTCGTGAACTAGACATTTTAACAAAAGTACCATCAATGGTACTCTAAGAGGCAATTCTTCAAATTTACATATTAGCTTCATGAACGAAACATAATATCTGACCTCCAGTCAGATATTTTGGAATTTTGGAATTTGGGAGCGTAGGAATTTGGAGATGAGGAAATTTGGAAGATGTAGAAATTTGGAAGCGTAGAAATTTGGGAGCGTGAAAATTTGGGGGTGTGGAAATTTGGTGACGTCGAAATTTGGGGGCTTGCAAAATTTGGGAGCGTGGAAATATGGGGGCTTGCAAAATTTGGGGGCGTGGAAATTTGAGGCTTGCAAAATTTGGGAGCGTGGAAATTTGGGGGCTTGCAAAATTTGAACGCGTAAAAATTTGGGAGCGTGGAAATTTGGGGGCGTGGAAATTTAGGGGCGTGGAAATTTGGGGGCTTGCAAAATTTGGGAGCGTGGAAATTTTGGGGGTTTGCAAAATTTGGGCGCGTAGAAATTTGGGAGCGTGGAAATTTGGGGGCGTAGAAATTTGGGGACGTCGAAATTTGAGAGCATGGAAATTTGGGGGCGTGGAAATTTGGGGACATCGAAATTTGAGAGCATGGAAATTTGGGGGCGTAGAAATTTGAAAACGTCGAAATTTGGGGGCTTGCAAAATTTGGGAGCGTGGAAATATGGGGGCTTGCAAAATTTGGGGGCGTGGAAATTTGAGAGCGTGGAAATTTGGAGACGTCGAAATTTGGGGGCTTGCAAAATTTAGGAGCGTCGAAATTTGGAGGTGTGAAAATTTGGGAGCGTGGAAATTTGAAAGTGTGAAAATTTGGGGGCTTGGAAATTTGGGGATGTAGAAATTTGGGGGTGTAGAAATTCAGAAATATAGGAGTGAATAGTTTGAGGATCTGAAGACTCTAAAATTTAGGAATTTGATGTTGCAAAAACTTGTAAATTCAAGACTACCAAATATTTTATTATAAAAAATTATAAAATCTCAACCCTAAATTGTAATTGTGAATTTACCTAAAAATTTAACTATCAAGATGTACAATATATTTACATGAGACAAGAGGTTATTACGATTTGGTGGTTTATGTAGCAAGCTCATAAATTTCCATCGTTGATGATACTGTTCTTTAAGTGTTTATTCAGTAGAACGAGTGTTTGGGTGAAAGTTATGCATTCACTTAACAAATAGCGAGTAATTATAATCTAGCCAACGATTGCTTTCGCTAATGATCAGTTATTCACGCCACTGGAATTGATTAATGCGCTTTGTAATCGCCGGTTCTTTCGAGTCGACCATTTTTAGTTTGGAAGAAAGCGAGGTAAATAATACTTCGTTAAGCGGTCTATTATTCAGGAAATTAATTAAGGTAGGTTCAGAGTTTCAACTTCGGTGTCTAAAATTGTAGACAAGGAAAAAATGTAAAAAATTTATCTTTGTTTTCTGACAAATATATTTCTGTGCACTTTAAATGCACCACCATAATTTTGCTGGAATATAAAACGGCAAAAGGAGATGAATTTATAACATTATTTTGATGTGGCCTTGGTTAAATTCACAAACATGATTACATACTTTATAACGTGGATATTATAAAATGGTCTTTTATTATTAAAAAAAGTAATGTAAATATACAGCAGAAAAATATCTTCGAAGATAACTCGTGAATATTTATTACAATGCTTAAAATTTTCTGTGCACACTGAACAAGGTAAACAGTCGAGCTAATCGAAACGGAAGCGTACAATTTAGCGGGCGACATCAAAATAGTGGTCACGTATGATTGAAAAGCCCATCGTATAAACTGTGTTATGTACGATTGAAAATTTCATCGACCATTCGGTATATTCGAGTGCTTATAATTCATAACACGATGGAGCCTCGATAATGCGGCGTGTAATCGTTTCTTTGTTCCCTGGGAAACCACTTTCCTATTAACGCACCTCCTCTGCGTTTGAATATTAAGAAGGAACATCCTGTTAAATACGTTTCCGCTGAAAAATAATCGCGAAATATTATTACTCGATTTATTTTCCTGCTCGCAATTATTTTAATAAAACTTAATACTCAAATTTCCGGTTGTGATCATTTGAACAGACGTGTGGGTATATTATTTACACCTTAACCCACTCGAAAGGTCACCATTCAATATTTTTTAAATCTGAATTACTCTGGGTATGGCGATCATTGGTGAACTTGAAATGAAAATTAAACTAGAAATTCCATTACGGTGAAAATTGTCGCATTTCAACAAACATTTGCGTCACATACACGATATAAGGCAGAGGATTCGTATATCCTTGATACTACATTTCACGCCAAATCTTCTCTCTGAAAAAAGTATCGCGCCACATCCCGACAAGGAAGCTATTAAGCGTGGCTGTCAAAAATCATCGTTGGCTGATTGATCAGCCGCATCAATTCGCTCCGTGAGCACAAATGATCCTCGCATGAAAAAAAAGAAAGAAGGAACCTGAGTAATCCCTCGCGAGTGAAATAACGCGATAATATCAGGCACGTCATTATCGTGGTTGGCAGGGCTGCATTATCTATCCATCATCGTCGTCGAAAACGGGAAAAGCCCGTTGTCGTTGTCCGTTGATTCGATGATCGAAACCTGCGCATCGAGTGACGCATTAAGAATTCCGTTACACGCTCGAACGCAACGCGGGAAGAAGAAGAAGAAGAAGAGGGTTCTCGATGATGCTTCGAGGTAAACGTTGGCCCGATCGAAGACAATGGAAAGTGGAAAGACAATCGAACGAACGTCAAGCCCGTGGAAGCCTTTCATTGCCCAACAGCAACGGCACAACATACGCTGCTTCTGCGTATTGAAATTCAATCGGGCTGCCTGTATCTTGGATGCCTTTGTCGTGCGCGTCGTAGGACGCTGCCGACACAATATTTCCGTTTAGCAGTCGGGAATTCGAATACCGAGTTTCCCGCTCGTTTTCACCGGCTGCGGAGTAATTATTAGCAACACTTTGTCTCGACAAAGGACAACTCGTTGGAATGGGACGTGAGGGTAGATCGATGTGGATAATGGATTTGGGTCAGATTCGGAAAAAGTCGGACGAGTTCGGTCGGAAATACGAAGGTACCTGGTTGGAATACTTGGGGGTCTGGAATTGCGAAATTTGATTTGTGGATCTGAGGATTTAGGAATTTAGAGATTTGAGATGTAGGAATTTGGGAATCTAGGAATTTGAGATCTAGGAAATTGGGATGAAGGGATTTGAAATCTTGGAAATTGGGATGAAGGGAGTTAGGAATGTAGGAATTTGGGGATCTTGGGATTTGGGGATATTGGGATTTGGGAAACTTGGGATTTGGGGATCTTGGGATTTGGGGATCTTGGGATTTAGGAATGTAGGAATTTGGGGATTTGGGAATCTTGGAATTTGGGGATCTTGGGATTTAGGAATGTAGGAATTTGGGGATTTAGGGATTTGGGGATCTTGGAATTTGGGTATTTAGGGATTTGGGGATCTTGGGATTTGAGGTCTTGGGATTTGGGGATCTTGGGATTTGGGGATCTTGGAATTTGGGGATCTTGTGATTTAGGGATCTTGGGATTTGGGAATCTTGGGATTTGGGGATCTTGGGATTTAGGAATGTAGGAATTTGCGGATTTAGGGATTTGGGGATCTTGGGATTTGGGGATCTTGGGATTTGGGGATCTTGGAATTTGGGGATCTTGGGATTTGAAATCTTAGAAATTGGGATTCAGGGATTTAGGAATGTAGGAATTTGGGGATCTTGGGATTTGTGATCTAGGAACTTAAAATCTTGGAAATTGAGATGTATAGATTTGAAATCCTAGAATTTGAGATGTATGGATTAGAAATCTTGGAAATTGGGATCTAAGGATTTGAGACATAGATTTGGTACCCAGAAATTTAGATATCTACCGACATAGCATACTATAAATTTAGAACTCAAAAATTTGATAACATGTGAATTTTGAAACCTGAAAACCCTGTATCTTGAATTTGTACATATAAGAATTTGTGTTTACGAATCTGCAAATTTGACCTGCTGCACAATTTCCTCTCCTACATTCTGGTCCAGGGCCATGTAGCGGGACTCCGCCGTAGATACATATCTAAATACAAGTACAACTTTCGGATGATCCGAAAATAATCGTGGTTTCTTGAACTCGCACTTGAGTAGAAAGCTAAAGACCCATAGGATTGCGTAATTTGAACTTTGAAATTATAAAACCTCCATGCGAGCAGAAGTTCAAGGTGAAACAGTATTAGAATCGTCAATTACTTTGGTGGCCAGAGTCCGTGACGCGAAATAGCGGTTTTGAACGTAAATCTTTTTAAGCAAAATTTATTTCGGCGATAAAATCTGTTGCAAGTTTGTGTATCCTCCGAAACACGTTCCAGCTCCAACAATCCAAAGCTTCATGCAAACGTCCCAGTACAAAAGTATTTGTCTGGTGATTCGACAAAAACGTGAAAAAAGAATCAGAGGATTCCTGGTAAAATACCGACGAAACAATCTCACTGTGCATTCGAACAATTTTGTTTAACCTTTTCATTGAACGTGTCTTTGTGTTTGCACAATACCTTGCTTTGTGTTCTAACGTTCGTAATTTTGTAATAAGTAAACAATTGAAAGTCATGCTTTATATTTCCGTAAGGTGTGATTTGATGGCACCTTTTGTCTTTTGATGTTAGTAATTTTATAATAAATATATAACTGAAAGTATGGTATTTTTGCTTTACTTTAAATATTTGTACTGTCTACATCTGTGACCAAACTGTGGCCAAATGATCTTCCTCACTTGCAAATAATATTTACAGAAGAAACCGATTTCTTCCTGCCTTTCTATTTTTCCTGTTTTGCACTTCCACTTTTTCCTGCTTCAACCCATTAACTGTCTTTTTATTTTAATTTCACCTCATGTTTTCAAATTTGCCTCGAACATCCTTGTACGTGATTCAACGTCAAAACAAAAAATAATTCTACAAACTAGAATCTAAATGTTCACCAAGAACATAGCCCACATCCATTGCAAATAACAAGAAAAACATACACATATTCGAGTTCCCATTTACTCGCGGTAGCAACTGGGTTACCTAAAAGAGATCAAACAGAGATGGCTGCATTGAAGGAGAGGAACTGTGAGGAAAATAAGGACGTCTTCGGTGTCTGACAAAAGCGATTATTCGTCTCCGAAAAGGTTTTGGCCTGGCCTCGAATAAGACCCGGTAGAAAATACGCTGACTGCCCGGTTTCTTTTCTCCTTTGCTCGAAGCCGTGCACGCAGGACTAACCCACGTTTCGAATAATAAACTGGTTTCGGAGTTCCGGTTTTCCGTCTTTCTTCGTCCCGATAGCCGGTCGAAGCAGGGATCGCGCGAACCTTAATAAGGCAATGAAACCTTTATGCTCATACATGGTAAGACTAGACGGCCGGTATATAGCTCTTTCTCTATCCGCGTTTTCATCGTGCCTATTCCAACATGGACGAGCATCCTCTTCTGCTTGATCGATCGACGAACCTGTTCGACGACGCCGATCATCGGACGCCATATACAGCGCACCTCGGCAAATGTAGGGGACATTTCTTTCTTTCGGGGTCATTACTGCCTCCGCTTCATATTTATGATGCTCTTATTGTTCCTGTGAAATTTTGCGATTTTTTGGTTAGGTATTGCGTTTGGTATATTTGCGTTGGCGGAATTTTTTTGATAATTGAAATTTGGGGATGGATTGGGATTTGGGTGATTTGGGATTTGGGAGATTGAGAACTTGGGAGATTGTGAACTTGGGAGATTGGGAATTTGGGAGATTGGGAACTTGGGAGATTGGGAACTTGAGAGATTGGGAACTTGGGAGATTTGGAACTTGGGAGATTGCGAACTCGGGAGATTTGGGATTTGGGAGATTGGAAACTTGGGAGATTTGGAACTTGAGAAATTTGGAACTTGGGAGATTGGGAACTTGGGAGATTGGGAACTTGGGAGATTGGGAATTTGGGAGATTGGGAATTTGGGAGATTGGGAATTTGGAAGATTTGGAACTTGGGAGATTGGGAACTCGGGAGATTTAGGATTTGGGAGATTGGAAACTTGGGAGATTGGGAACTTGAGAGATTTGGAACTTGGGGGATTTGGAACTTGGGAGATTGGAAACTTGAGAGATTGGGAACTTGGGAGATTTGGAACTTGAGTGATTTGGAACTTGGGAGATTGGGAACTCGGGAGATTTGGGATTTGGGAGATTGGAAACTTGGGAGCTTGGGAACTTGGGAGATTTGGAACTTGAGAAATTTGGAACTTGGGAGATTGGGAGCTTGGGAGATTGGGAACTTGAGAGATTGGAAACTTGTGAGATTTGGAACTTGGGAGCTTTGGAACTTGAGAGATTGGGAACTTGGGAGATGGAGAATTGAGGAGATTTGGAGATTTGGAAATTTGGAAATTTCTAAATTTGTAAATTTACAAACATAAATATAAAAATTTGAAAACCTGTAAATTTCAAAACATACAAAATTGCAACCCTCCTTCAACATCCTCCTAACACATACCAAAACAGAAACATATAAAATGTAAGTTCTATGAGTAATAAAATGTTCATGCATCAAAATGTATAAGAAAGGAGACAATAATGAATTGACGCAGAAGTATCGAGTTCCGTTTACGCATCGTAACTGTTTAATATTTAACACTCTCGTCACTATTTTCGTCTCGAATCCTTCGAGCAGCAACTACTCACCACAGATCGGTATTTTTATTCTTATTCTCGAAGCAGTTAACAGCTGTTTCGTTCTGGACGTAGGAAAATCGCTCGGTTGCCCTGCCCGAGTGTGTTGAGCAACGTGCATAACTTGTCCGGTGCGTTGGCAAACAAACCGGGCAACAATGTACAAGGTTTAACTCGTTTGGTTGTCGATATGATTTAGTGATCTTTTATTTCTCTTAAAATGTCACTGGCATTATATGGTAAACGTATACATAGATATAGTCATCGCTGTTTGTGAAAATTATTTCAAGATTTTCTTTTTTTTTAATTTGTGAACTTCCAAAGTGTTAGATTTAAAAATTTTGGTTTTTCAATTTTGGACATTTGTGGATTCTTAAGTTTATGGATTTATGAATTTGTGAATTGTTAATTTTCTTTTTGAATTGTTGTACTTTTAGTTTTTTAAATGATTGAGATTATTGGGTACAAAATTCAAGAATTTTAGTACGTGTCACTCCTCAAATTTTTGAATTAGCAAATTTTTAAATTACAGAAGTTCTAAATCACTTAATTACTAAATTTCTATATTTCTATATTTTTGTGCATGTGTATGTCTATATCTGTATGTATGAATATCCACAAGTCCATATGTCTATATGCTGCATGTGCATATGTTTGTATGTGTATATGTCTGTATGTGTATTTATCTGAATGTATATATGTCTGTATGTGCATATGCTATATGTTCATGTGTCTTATATGGCCATGTGTCTATATGTCCATGTGACTATACATATGTTCATGTGACTATATGTTCATGTGGCTACATGTTCATGTGTCTTATATGTTTATATGTCTGCACGTGTATATGTCTGTATATGCATTTGTCTGTATGTGTATATATCTGTATATCCATGTGACTATATGTTCATGTGTCTAGTATGTCCATATGTCTATATGTCCATGTGTCCATATATCTATGTACCTATATGTCCATATGTCTACATTCTTATATTGCCACCTTCAAAATTCCTAAACATCCAAATACCCAAGTCCCAAAATTATCGAATGTCCACAAAACCAAATACTAAAACCACCAACTATAAAACAACATAAACTTCAACACACGATTACCGCCAACGACGCGTTTTAAAACAAAGTCCAGCCCAAAGGCGTTCAACACCCAGATAACAAACGCATGAGCACCGAATCTACATACACGTTGAACACATCGGTATTAAGATACCTCCAACTGAAAATCATACGCTTTAGATTTTCCCCATAGCTGTATCGAATCGCATACGTCGGTTTGTAGTTGCGTTAGAATTTCACGCGCTCGTTGCTTCGTCGAGCACTCGTCGGAATTGCTCTTTTGCTCGTTTAGATAGAACCGGACACAGGTTATCGCTTCGCTTTGCACGCGTACACCGTGATAGAAAGTTACCTGCGTCCCTCGACCCGGTTCGTTTCTCTTTTTTCCGCGATATCGTGCGATTCGAAAAACTTAAAAAAACGCCATTGTAATGTATGAAACCGAGAGGCGTAAAGATAGATCCCCTTATCGCATAGTGAAATTCTGGATGTACGATAAAATATTCTGGTCGAATATTATAGGAGACAAATCTGGAGATAAATCTACTTGTGTTATTTGCTGAATTAGGGGACAAGGTGGGTTATTGTTTGTAGGTGTGGATTTAGTGTAGGTGGGTTTAGTGTAGGAAGGATCCTCCTCCTCCTCCTTTAAGAGGAGGGTTAAACATAGAAGGTATAGGGTTGGACAATTTTTAATTTTTTTTTTGGAAATTTAGAATTTTCTAATTTTTGGAATGTGTGAACCCTCAAGTTACCCACATTTCTGAGTTATTTTGTTTAAATATTCTCACATCTCTAAATTTCTACATTTCTAGATTCCATATTTCCACGCTCTCATTTCTCCACGCTTCTGAATCTCTAAGCTCGCAAATTCTCACGCTTCCTAATTCTTACGCTATCAAATCTCTATATTTCCAAATTCTCACATTTTCAAATTTCTATATTTCCAAATTTCTAAATTCTTGAGTTCCAATGCTCCCATATCCCTACGCTCCCATATCTCCACGCTCCCATATCCCTACGCTCCCATATTTCCACGCGCCCATATCTCCACGCTCCCATATCTCTGCGCTTCTGAATCTCTAAGCTTGCAAATTCTAACGCTTCCAAATTCCTACGCTATCAAATCTCTATATTTCCAAATTCTCACATTTTCAAGTTTCTAAATTCTTGACTTCCAACGCTCCCATATCCCTACGCTCCCATATCTCTACGCTCCCATATCTCCACGCTCCCATATCCCTACGCTCCCATATCTCCACGCTCCCATATCCCTACGCTCCCATATCTCCACGCTCCCATATCCCTACGCTCCCATATCTCCACGCTCCCATATCCCTACGCTCCCATATCTCCACGCTCCCATATCCCTACGCTCCCATATCTCCACGCTCCCATATCCCTACGCTCCCATATCTCCACGCTCCCATATCTCTACGCTCCCATATGTCCACGCTCCCATATCTCTGCGCTTCTGAATCTCTAAGCTCGCAAATTCTAACGCTTCCAAATCCCTACTCTGTCAAATCTCTACATTTCCAAATTCTCACATTTCCGAATTCTCTCATTCCCCAATTCCTAAGTTTCTAAATACCTTCATTTCCAAATCTCCACGTTCCCAAATCTCTACATCCCCAAATCTCTCCTCTCCCAGATCCCTGCATCTCCAAACTCTACCATTGTCAAATCTACACAATCTCAAACTGTCACAACCCACCTCCTCAAATTTCCAAACTCCTACATACCTAATTAAGAAAATCTCTACATTCCCAAATTTGTACACTCACAAATTCTCCTAAATGCACATCTCCAAATGTATACCAAGTATCCACACATTTAAACACCTAATTTCCAAATCTCCAAATTCGAAAATCTCTCACTTCCCTTTCTAAAATTAATCCTAGAGAAACCACATCTGTTCCCAGCCATCCACACTCAAAGAGACGTTCTTACATTAAAGTGAAGTTT